GATGACTTGTTCGGACTCTACTGTACGGAAAATGACAGAGAAAGCATCCAGACATTAAACACTGAAGAAATGAAAGTCTATCAGATAGCAGAAAATTCAAATGTTGTGGCACGACCTTCTATCCGTCTTCGATAAGAAGTGAAGAATGCGATCATATGGTCTTCTGGATTAATCAGAGCCCTGAAAAAGAAAAGGATCAGAGAGATAGACATGACTAAAGAATAATGTACTTCCCTTGCACAAGGAATTACTTTTCAAAAAATTCTTTCTTTTATTTGCAGTACCTTTCTTATACAAACTTTGACAAGATCAAAAATTAACAGAAAATTGTGAACTTTTGCTTTTACTCAAGTCATTAATATACCTAGATATGAAATTATGCACTGAGACTTTACTCGTCCTGAAATAGCACCCCAACATTACGCTTTTTCGCTGAATTTCTAGTATTTCTCATACTGGAAGCTCAAAGTACTTGCTCGCGTCTATTTCTTCCAGCAAAGATTTGCTGCTTTTTTGTGGATCTCCGTTCAAAGACCATAGCATTTCTATTGTATTGGCTGCGTCCCTTATCAGCACTGCTGTGACGATCTGTCCTTTAGTTGAGCGTATATATCCGCTTCTGGACGAGTCTTGATCCATCTGCCTTGCAACACTATTATGCTCCAACTTTTTTTTACGATACTTCAGCGAAATGATAAAGTATTCGCTCCAAAATTGTGCTTATGGAAATTGATTAACTGTCCTCCAACACCTTTTATCCTCAAAAGATGGTCATGGAGCAGTCGTCCGATGATGGTACAACATACATGTAAAGTTCGCATCCAGCGTAGAGCTTAGTTGTCAACATGTCTCTATGTGCATCCAGAGTTAGAAGAAGCGATGAGAACCCACATGCACTTTGTACAAAAGCCCTCTAAGATGTCAATCGATCGTCTTCTTTCGATTTGCTCGAAAGACTGCCGACACTGTTTTCAATTTGTATGAGATTCATTCAGAACCTCAAAGAGTGGAAGTCTAGGCTATAAATTCTTCTGCTTAGCTGAGACACATATGTAAAATAAAACCACCGTAGCCCATAACCTTTCTGTAGTAGAATCGTTGTTGTTTTGTTCTTTGTAGATTCCCAAAATCCCTCATTCTTAGCTTGCATTCAAAGGGCCCTTTCTCTCTCATATGCTTACCACTAAAATAGAGCCGTATAGCTTCTTTATAGGCGTTAGTCTTTCCAGGTGCTCAGGGGTGCTTAAAGCTTAGTTTGCCTTCTTCAAGAGATCTACCGTTCTTGATAACAATGCCTAAACGGGATTTGCTTTTCTAAAGATTTTGTCGATTGGTCAGGCCAAAAGAACTATTTGCTATAATTTAAAAAAAAAGGTATAAGCTATTTTGTGCATATCTTAGTTTTGATACTTGATTGTCGCATTATTCTTCTCTAGCCCTGAAGCTCTCTTTGTAGAGTCGTCTTCCAATGTCTAATTGCGAAGCCGAACAAACATAAAATCTCTAAACCTAGGAAAAATTTATTCTTT